TAATTTCTTTATCAAAGTTTACTGCCACATCTTTCTCCTGTGGAGTGATTGGTGTGTTTGAACTGCCAACCTTTGGGTTAGCAGCCTAACATTTAAACAATGTATCACAAAGACTCCTCCAGACAACACTAGGGGGGAGCTCTTCTGTTGTATTTTCCCCCAGATATTCTGAACTTGAATATATGTATAAACCCAACTCACTTGTAATTTTGCTTCCCATTTAAGCAACTCCTGTTGAATATAAGCTGAAAGTATGCTTAGTCACATTGGATTTCTTGGCAGTTACATCCTAGTAGGGGCAATTGATTCTGATCCTTTCAGTAAAGAACTTGTTGCTCATAACCTGTGATTGTTTACAATAATAGTATCCTTTAGCCTTTAACGACTTCAAAGATTATTACCCATAGTCATGCCCTTTGCTGGAGCAACCCACATCCAATGCCGTAATGATTCATAGTGTAGGACATTCTGGGTAGGCTGAAGGATGGCATAATGGTTAAGTGCTCAGCTACTTAAACATTGATGGTTCAAATCCACCAACCCCTCTGGGGAAGATGTGGCAGTCAGCTTCCATAAACAGTAGTCTTATGATTAATTCCCATGGGACAGTTCTACTCCATCCTTTAGGGTTGCTTTAAATTGCAATTGACTTGACAACAATGGATTTCTGGGTTTGGGAGTCAGGTGAGGTTCAATGGAAACATCCCCAATAGTATTATACCAAATCAGAAAAATTCATGAGCATGTAAAAAGATCTATCTAGCTACTGACAGTAGAACTCCGGACCTGGACACTACTCTGCTCTGGAAGGAGCATCGAGATGTGATGCAGTCGCAGCCCGAATCAATTTTTCCCATAAGAAATAACTGAAAAACGGATTAATCGGTTCTGACCACCAAGCTTTACCCTAACCTTGCCTCTTTATACATTACACAGAAATTTCAAAGTTCAGAATTAAATAATATAATTTAAATAAGAAACACAACATTTTTTTAAGAAACACAACATTTTAAAAACTTTTAACAACTACAGTATGGCCCATACCTTGAGATTGATGAGGATCTGGATCTGTGGACCCGGATGTGGAGAGAAGGGGAACCTCCTTCCATCAAATCAACAGGGAGCTGCTTTTCAGGAGTATTTTTCCCTTCCTTTGCCTTTTTTCACTAGGACCTGGCAGACTTTCTCTTTAAAAAAGCTATCCAATGTGGTCTGCTGTTGGTGTTTCTGTAACTGTTTTCTAAAAGGGTTTACTAAATTATCAACAATATCGATAACATAGTTTGACCAGTTCCTTATCATGATGATTCTTTCAAAAAACTCTTTCTTAGGACCCATGCTTTTTATCTAAAAACAATACAAAAACTAAGAAAATGCTAGCGAAACGCTTAGAACACAGCCGCAAAAGGGTTAAACAATGTGCACTAACACCAACTAACTCTGAGTGACCGAAACACGAACTGCTTTTGTTAACAAAAATCACGTGCCTCAGGTCGGATTCCAATGTTTTGTTTGAGCTCCGATGCAAAATTTTTTTTTTTTTTTTTTTTGTAGGGGATAGCGCGAACGCATTTTGAGTTGAAAATGATGCGAGTTCTGGGATTCTACTGTACTTTATTCAGGCACTTCAACGTTTCTGTTAGAATTCTCTTTAAAATGCATTAGACTCCACCTAGTTGCAGCTGAGTCTTTTTGAGTCATCTCTACTCCGGGTCAGGTGATCCCATACGTCATGGTTTTCACTGGTTACCTTTTTCCGAAGTAGATCAAGCCTTTCTTTCAGTCCCTTTACATGAATTCAAACCTTGAACCTTCTGAATAGCAGCCAGTCCTCAATTATTTGCGCCACATAGAAACGACTGCATTTTAGTGCACTCGGTGTTTCATGCCATCTGTGCCCCATCCTCCAAAATATTTTCAAGAGCATACTACAAAATTAGCAGTGCTTATGAAAGTACCTTGAGGGTCCTGTGAGATTGGAGTTTGCCCATTTGCATGAAACAGGATTTGTTAGATCTCTCGGGAGAGATATACCTGGGTCCTTGGCTTCACGCTAGAAAGAATTCACCCCGAAGCCTGGCTTGTGATCCAAGTGAATTTATAGAGAATACAGCGGCACAATTGCATGGGACCGCGCATCAGCCATGCACTGTCAGAGCCACTGGCAGAGCCAGAGTAAAACCTCTGGCTTTTCAGGGCCACTGTTGGAAGTGTGGTCGATGATACTAATTGACACCATTGGCTGAATGAAATTCATCCGGTCAAGATGGGCCAAGCCAGGTGTAACACCCACTTAGGTGTACCATCCCTTTCTGGCTAGGTGCTAGAATCTAACAGGTTTATCTTACAACCAACCCACATACTTACATTGGAGCTCATAGTCAATTTGATAGGATTCGTATAGTCCCAGTTGTCATTCGATTTTAGGAAGTCAGAAAAGTATTGACCAAATTCACAGTACAACTCAGTAGGTATTTAAAAGCCACCAAATAAAACCTGGTTCTTGATTTCCTTTCCACTACTGCTTATTTTTTACCCCTTGTTTCCTCTCCCAGGTTGTTCTCCCATTGTTCAAGGTTGATAATGTACTTTTGAGGCTTTTAATGTTTTGCTGATACAATTATTTTTGCAGCTTTGATTAATCAGAGCTTTCTAGATTTTGGTAAGGTGTGTGTGTGGGGGGTATAAGAATGTGGAAGGGCTTGTCTGTAAGGGCCTCAGTTCTGTTTAAATCTGTTATACAGATTCTGCACAGGGAAACGTGTATGAATCTTTAGGTAGAAAGGAAAACTTTTATGCCCTATCTTTTTATTGGGTTAGGACACATTCATCAATTTCCAAACTGTATTTGAGTCTGCACTCATCCCCTTGGCTGGGTGCCTATCTGCATAGTATACTATATGAACCATAATGGCCCTATTATGATTTATAGAATTTATCTAAATAAACAAACATAGCATCTAAAAAACCATTTACGGTACTCATTATAATGTGTGGGAAACTGAGAACCAGAAGTGTCTATGTGGACAAATTCTCGATGCTCATATTTAAGGAGTCTGGGAGGCAGATTCTGGTGGGGGAAGGTCTTCATGCTTTTGGTCTGGAGATGCAGCCCAGTCACCTTCTCCTACGGAAAAGTTGTTCCCCACAATGTCCCCTGCAATGATGCCAATTGTAAGAAGCTGCTTGCAAGCACATGGTTGCTACTATGAGCTTGAAGGCTATCTGCCTGAAGGTTGTATGCCATCAAGAGCAATCAGAACAGCCCACTCCCTTCTGGGTAGCATCATAGGTTGCTACCCTGGAGAAGAGCTCAGGGACATGTAAGGTCAAGCCAGCTGGGAGATGACCAAAGATTAAGCTGCCATCTTAACTCTAGAACCTGCACCTCAAATGCATGTACCTTCCTGCTGCATGTATACCCCTAACATATCCCCTTCCTGTTAAACATGTGGGTGACATGGCTTGCATGTTCGAGATTATATAAGCCTGTGAGAGACTACATTCTCCCACACTCTGGTTCCAGTCTCCATGGAAGAGGTAAGCCCTTGCATGCCTTGTATGATGTTTCTTTAATTTACCCTTCAATTACACAACTACCCCTTGGGACCAATTCAGTTGTGGAGGCTGGTTCACCACAGTAAAGAGCATCTTAGAGGTTTTAAAAGTCAGCATTCAAAATAATGTGAACAATTTAAGGAAGTATAGTAGAGGGGTTGAGTCTTATTCTCCTTAATAAATACAAGTAAGGCCTGGTGCTGAACAATTGAGGACACAAATAGCAACCAATGCAAATGGAAGACTGTTACTACTGCATGTCCACACTAAGTAGGATCTTCCACTGATGCTATTTAAGACACTGGACCAAAGATGTTGAAAAAAATCACTGTTTGTCATCATTGTTGTCAAAATAATGGTACAGAAAATTATCATGCACTAACATGTTGGACTCCAGAGGAAGCCAGGGCTTTCTATTCCTGTAAAAACTTAGTCTCAGAAACCCCCAAGCGCAGTCAATCCTATCCTAGAGAGCCACTATGAGTCAGCATAAACTTGATGGCAGTAAGTATCTAAGCATATATAAAATGTGGGGATTCATAATTCCAAAAAAAATTGAACCGATTAAGTTACTTTTTAACAATGTATGTTCAAAAGCATTCTTCTTTTTTACTGTTGAAACTAACGGTTGCAACCCACTGCCAAAGGAATATGTTCAAAAGCAAATATCTCGTATATCCTCTTGTGCAGTTCATATTTTCCTTACATTTGTATTGGTTCTTCTTCTAAATTATTGTATTGCTGAGCACCCAAATCGAAAGCCAGTCGTCATATGAGCTTCAAAAATTTGTGGAAAAAATGTAATTGAATGATAATGAAATTTTCCCAGACACCTTTTGAAGCCCCCTCATTTATTTCTTATCTACAACTATCTAAAGCTCAATAGCCATCCTTCTTTCATTTCCTGATACCAAATTAGGGGATAAAGGAAAAAAAATTATTACAAAGGTAGCATAGCAAGCAAAAGTATCATGGTAATCTCATTAAATCAGTCCTGCAGTGCTTCAACTCTAAAAGGCATAGCACTTTTTTCCCCACTTTCATGGCTTAATTTCGCCAGGAAAATTGAAAGAAAAATAATCGCCAACATAAATTCCTTAAAAATGTCAATTTCAAAAAGAACTAGATATATGTAAAATGCTCCCAATATGAACTATCTTTGCTAAGAAAGTAAAAAATCTAACTATCCATGTTTGAATTCCAGAATCCCAACATAGAAAATCTGTGCTTCCCAAATGAAAGTTGCTTTTGAAGGGGATATTGTCATGTTATCATAGCAATTAATACACAACAAACTTACCTAAAAAATACCTAAATTTATAAATGCTAGCTTTTTATTCTTAAGTTTCCTCTTAAAATTAGTTTTCAGTGACAAAGAAAATTACTATTCTTAATAGTTTTTAAGAAACAATTATAAATATATATTAACACATTCAATTATATAGAAAAATGCTAATAGTACCTTTATTATTTACATATGGTTCTGTAAACAAAGTTGGCAAGAACATCCTCAGAATTCGTACACAGATTTATAAAAACTTCAATAATATGATCCTTACCACTTCTCAAAAGTAAACATTTTGTGAAGACTAAATGCCAGCAAATGCAGAATTTGAAGGGGAAGAAAAATACATTGACAATAGATTTGAGTTTTCTTCTTGCCAAATATCTAAAGCATCACATGTACCACTGTTTTCAGGGTAGCTGGTAAAACCCAAGAATTCTGATTTCTCCTCACTAGTCTGAAATAAGTCCAGTAAAGATTGTGCTGGTGAGCTAGAAATTCCCTTTTCTTCTTGTGCAATAAGAAATTCAGTTCTTTTCTTATCTAATTCCACATTTGGTTCCAGATTTTCTTTTTTAGTTCTTCTTAATAATAATTTCACTTTCCGCTGTATTTTACTAGGAGGTAAACTATCCATGTTCTTAGGGTTACACTCATTAAATTCATCAGGAGGATTATGGGATGGAGTCTTTGCTTGGACTGTTAGGTCCTCCTGTAAACTGTTTGTTGGTAACAGGCCAGAATTGTGACCAAATACTGAATTAAGGTCATTTTCCTGTAAGTCCTTTGCTGTATCTGACTTTTGTTTCAGTTGAGATGAACCATTATTATGCTTACTGAAACTGGAAACATGTAGAGATGTCTGCAGTCTGCATGGACAATGATTCACCTTTAGTTCTTCCATGTTATTTTCAGTTATAATTAATTTATGATCAGAAATATCATGACTACATTTCTGTTTATGTTGATTTGAAGCCCATTGTGTAAAATTCTGTTTTCTATCATTTTCAGCAATATTTAACATGGAACAATTATTTGTCGTTTCTGCATTAGGTTCTCTTGATGCACTTGAAGGGCAAGAGATGGGTAGTTCTGAAAAAGCCACAGGCTCTTGTTCAGGTTTGTGGACTTCGTTACACAGAAAAATCTGCTCCATTTCCTTTATATTATTATTTCCCCTGAAGTACTTTTGAGGAGTATGTTGCAATTCTAGCTGCTCTTTTGGTTTGGTCTTCTTAAGGACATTTGTAGTAAGAGGAGAAAGGGATCCAACACTGTATTTTATTCTTTACAGGGAGAGAAAAGGGAAAAAAATAAAATAATTACGAACAAAATAAGATTTTGAGTAGTTAAAAATTAATAAAATAATCTTTTAACTATTTCATAAATTTACTGAAGCTTTAACTTTCTGATTTTGAAGTAATAAAACTTGTATGACTGAAAACCTTAGCCTTTTTCTCATCTGCATTCTTCTCTACCCTTAGAGAGTTAACCAGTACTTGGATACTGTATCTAAGCTACTTTTAATGTTTGAGGGAGCTTCAAAAAGTTACTGGGATAAATGCTCATTATCTCTTAATTACAGTTTCCACAAACATTTTGAATCCCATCTGAAATCAAAGAAAGATGACAAAATGATTATGATCTAATTATCCTGAAATATTTATCTCTGTGCTTTGACCTAGTGTATCTCTTTATATAGCAATGTACAAAATAAGCTTATTTTGACAAAACATAAAAACATTTTTTGTTTATATTCAAAATAAAATATTTAGTATCAAAGTAAGTTGGAAACAGTAATTAGAGTAACTATTTTGAGATGAAAAAGTTTTTCTTAAATTTCACTCACACACACACACACACACACACACACACCCCTAAAACTTTTTTTTACTGAAGTATCTTGACATCCTAGATTATATATGGATAGGAAGAATGGTAATAGTTTACTAATTATATTTCCTATTACACATATCACAGATAACAGTGAGAAATACAGAACTCTATCCATCCCCTTCAACCAAAAAGGTTCCGCTGAAATCTACATTGTTTTGTTTACATGATTGCCTTTGAGCAAGTGGAGAGGGTGAATATAAAAACACTAACAACACACCCCTTCTTTTTCGTTTTTTCTCCTTACTTGTCAACAGAGGTTAAAATAATGCAGGTAATAGAGGATTTAAGATAAATGATTAAGGAAGATCCAGTTTATGAATATAAATACAAGTTCAGAATTTTGTTTTAGTATGCTTGTAGTGAATGCAAAATTTTTACCGTAACCATCATTTTAATAGTTGGAAATATGTCTCTTTTCCAAATGCTAATTATTATTAAATCAGCCATGAGAAACTATTCTAAATGTCACAAATTTAATGTTTTAGAAGTTCACTTAGGTCTAGTCAAAAAGTTTCCTAACTTATTTTCTAGAAACTATCTTGGTATCACATTTTAAAATCATTTTTATGCTTTAAAATTAATCTAAAAAGCAATGAATAACCTAGTTGGTTTATCTCTGACTCGAGGGCATATGCAGATGAAAACAATCTAACCAGTATTCTTTTATCAATATGTAGGTTTTGTACAGTGAACATAATCTATTCACCTATGAAAGTCCTTTAAGTACCTTTAGTATGTTTAACTGTAAATGAAGAGTTGAAGGAAAGTTATTTAGTGAAAATACACAGACTATGAAATGAGGCAAGTGGCAAAAGGGTTGTTAGGGCCTCATTAGCCTGAGTAGATTGTAAACTTCGTCATTGTGGACCAGGGGCTAACAAATTATAGTTAAAATGAAACTAAATAACAATAATAAAACAGCTGCATATATTTCTAAATAAAGGTTTATTGGAACACTACCATATTGTCTGTGGCTACTTTCACACGACAATGGCAGAGATCTAAGTTTCACAGATATTTACTATCTTGCTCTTTAAAAAAAACAAAACAATACCGAATTCCTATTCCAAACTATACTATCTAGAATATATTAAAAATAAAGCATTTTTGATAAGACTGTGGGGGAAAGAGAGCAAAATAATTAGACCATTAACATATTTACATCCTTCTAAGGACAGCAAACTTTGCATTCATCTTTAGTTAATAAAAGATAACTATTTTAGTGATGCTTTAAACATGTATTGATAAATTACCTTTTCTTTTCAGGTGTGTCCCTTTCATATTCCACAAAATCAAAAACTAACTTAGATATGACGTCATCTACTACTTGGTATTGGTTGCTCTGTGCAAAGTTTCGGTGTTGTTCACATAGAAGGTGCTAAAATAAAATATAAACATATAGAACTTTACTAAAAAGTTACTAAAACTATTTTGTTTCCACAACCTTCCATCAGCACATTAATATATGCTGTTTTTGGAAAGAATTTGACAGTGAGCGTATTATTCAATTAACCAGTTCATAATCAAGAACACAGAAGTTATTCTCAGTCTTCATCGAAAATAAAAATTCAGTTTGTAGGGATTAAACTCACGTAAAACAAAAATCCTCTCTGCATAGGTGAAAACTCCTAGCTAGATTTCTACCCCGTCTTTTGGCTTGTAGGCATTATACAGCTATAGTCTTGTGCCAGGATGACCTTGGAAGCCTCATATTGTTTCCCTAGCATCGGTTTTTTTTTTAAAAATCGTTTTATTAAGGCCTCAAACAACTCTTATCACAATCCATACATACACCAATGGCGTAAAGTATATTTGTACATCCATTGCCCTCATCATTCTCAAAACATTTGCTCTCCATTTAAGTCCTTGGTATCATTTTCCCCCTCCCTCCCCGCTTCCCGCTCATGAACCCTTGATAATTTATAAATTATTATTTTGTCATATCTTGTACTGTACGATGTCTCCCTTCACCCACTTTTCTGTTGTCCGTCCCCCAGGGAGGAAGTTATATGTAGATCCTTGTAATCGGTTCCCCCTTTCCACCCCACCTTTCCTCCACCCTCCGGTATCACCACTCTCACCACTGGTCCTGAAGGGATCATCTGTCCTGGATTCCCTGTTCCCAGTTCCTATCTGTACCAGTGTACATCCTCTGGTCTAGCCAGATTTGTAAGGTAGAATTGGGATGATAGTGGTGGGGGGAGGAAGCATTTAGGAACTAGAGGAAAGTTGTATGCTTTGTCGGTGCTACATCGCACCCTGACTAGTTTGTCTCCTCCCTGAGACCTTCTGTAAGGGGATGTCCAGTGACCTACAAATGGGCTTTGGGTCTCCACTCCATACTCCCCTCCTCATTCACTATGACATGATTTTTTGTTCTGATGATGCCTGATACCTGATCCCTTCTATACCTCGTGATCACACAGGCTGGGATGCTTCTTCCATGGGGGCTTTATTGCTTCAGAGCTAGATAGATGCTTGTTTACCTTCAAGGCTTTAAGACCCCAGATGCTATATCTTTTGGCAACCGGGCACTATCAGCTTTCTTCGCCACATTTGCTTATGCACCCGCTTTGTCTTCAGCGCATCACATAAGTTTTAAGAGTTTATTATGGGATTCTATTTCTAAACACCAAACTCAGCAATGGCCACAAAAAGCCTCCACAATATTTAGGAAAATATATATAATCTTACACTCAAAATAATTTGACATATAACTAATAGTGCTTTGTAATGATAAACATATACAAGATATTTTTAATTTAAAAATCTATTAATTTAGATTAATCTACTCATGCTATTAGAAGAGAAAATATTAACAAAGTAAAACAATCGTGTATGGATTGGGATAACAGTTGTATGAGCCCCTAATAAAATGTTTAAAAAAAAAAAAAAGTAAAACAATCTCCAACTTTTGTGTAGTGCCCTTCTATTACCACCTAGCTCTTACTCATCCAAGAGATCAATGTCACTTCATCATCTGGGCTTTCTATGATCCTCATTCTAAGTCAAGAAACCTTATTATGGCCATTACCTTGTACACCCATATTTCTGACACTCATTAACACTAGCAAATAAATGTTTGCTATTGCTTGATAATTTTTTTCTCTGCCACATCATAAGATACACCTCTACTAATGCTTTATGCCTGGCACTAAAAGAAAATTAAATAAATGCCATCATTATAGGCAGAACCAAGCTACTGTGTAAGGTAAAATTCAATAAATAAAAAAAATATTTAATCTTAGCAACTAAGAATATGCATATAACTGTTTTTAAAAAAAGTTTTCTAAGAATATATATCTCAACATTTACTTTTGCCAATTTTCCTTTTTTTGGCAATCAGTAGCTAAGTTTTTATTTTTTATGCTCACCATTTTCTAAACTGTTAGTTGTTTTAACAGCAAAGTGAAAATTCAGGATAAATCTATAATTACAATTTTCAAATGATTTTGGAGAAACCAAAGTATTGGTACAATATTTTAACTTCTGATGAAAAACAATTAGTTATTCTCCATGTTTCTTTTTTCCATTATTACATAAACAAAATAAAATACTTATCTTTTGGGTTATAAAATAATAAAACTTCATTTAGAGTCTAAAAACAGAAACAGTTTATGAATCAGATATTTTAAAGTATTATTCCTCTACTTAGCCTCCCTACCACCTTCTACCAAAGCCAAACATCAAAGCAAACCTCTCTACCATGTTAAATTTTAGTAATTCAACTAATAATAACTGCTAACCCTTTCTTAGGGAACACAGACAGGAAGCCAAGATTCAAACCCAAACAGTCTGGCTCTTACTCTCTGCTTAAGTTTTGCCTATCCTTCCAGCTCTCCAATTTATTTTTTATTTTTATTTTTTTAAATTTTTTCCCCAAATTATGGGGGTTTATTAGGGAAGGTAACGGATTACTACAAACTAGGATCGGAACACACGAAGGGTAAAGTCATTGGCCCACAGCAACACCCCTTCTCTGCCAGCAGCCAATTCTTTCTGTGTCTGCTTCTCAGCGTCTCCGTCATGTGGTCCCTTGGCCTTTGCCTCCATCCGTCAGGAAGCCAACACACTGCTCCGACTCAGTTTCACAGCGTCATAGTGTCCCGGTCATATGGTCTTGGCTCTGCTCCTCTGCTCCGTCTCCTCAACTCTTTGCTTTGGCCTCTCGTCTCGGCATGGGGTGGCCCCTGCCACTTCAGGCAGGGATTTTGAAAGTGTTCCCGGGCGAATCTTCTTCCTCGATGGTCCTAGAAATTCTTTCTCTTCCTGCTTCTAAATTGCCTTATCCTTACAGCCAGGAGAATGGCAAAACTGACCAATTCCCAAGTTAGAGGCCCCTGTACTTTGTTTGCATGGTCACACATAATAATTTGGTGGGGGTTATAGAGAAATGTATGGAAGCGCTATATTAAGAAATTTCAAATTACTCACTGTCCAAATTTGGGTCTCAGGGCAACTACTAAACTGATAATAAAATATACTAATATTCTAATTAAATTAGGTTACCAATAATTAGTCTTTATTTTCTAAAATTAGTTTAATAATAAATGTCCTTCATTTTCTAGAATTGAGAAGATGCTGCCATTCAGGGAGTTGGTGTTATATAAGTAAAGAAGACCTTGCTTGCTACCAAATGGCTGTCCCCTAGCTTTACACTATGACCCTTACCATGTCGGGGGTTTAAGTGGAGAGAAAATGTTTTGAGAATGATGTACAAATGCGCTTTACACAATTGAGGTGTGTATGGATTGCGATAACAGTTGTATGAGCCCCTAATAAATGTTTAAAAAAAAAAAAAGAAAGAAAAAAACAAGGGAGGTGTTGCCAGCCATCCAAACAGATGAGTTTGAAAATTGTTTCCAAGAATGGAATCACAGATTTGACAAATGTATTAAGTGTAATTGAGAGTACTTTGAAGGTGAGAAGGTTGTTTTGTAAAAAAAAAAAAATACATAGAAAAAAAATGATGTGTTTTGGGGATACCCCCTTGTATTAAAAAAAACAAAAAAACAAAAATATTAACACATAAATAAGAGGTCTAATGCAAAATACCAAAAAAGTGGAAGGCCTTCAACAAGATAGAGTGACACAGTGGCTGGATCAATGGGCTCAGACGTCAGAACAACTGTGAGGCTGGCGCAGGACAGAGGGTGTTTGTCCTGTTGTACAGAATGTCACTATGAGTCACAAGTGACCCAACGGCACCTAAAAACAACAGCAATGAAGATGAAATGTTGCTTGTAGAATAAACAGAGGAGTGTGTGTACATCGCAATAGTGTCAATGTGTGTGTGTACCAGCTCTCCAATTTAAATGGTACTCTATCAGTTAGGTATTCCTTGTCTAATTTGAACAAATAGAAATACCACTATTCCAACTGTTTGTTTGTTTTTCATATGAGGGGGCTTAAAAGAGTTCATAAACAAATTCTATTTTTAATTCCATTTTCCACAAACTTTTGAAGTTCTCTTGTGTAACTTATGTTTTGATTGCATCTACCCCAACCCCTTTCATAAAAAGTAATATTCACGAAGACAAAGAATTGGTTTCATTTGTTCCATGGTGTTAGTACAGAAGTGACTGGCACATAGTAGGGTTTCTAACTTTTAATATATTTTTGCCCAAATAATTTACATATTATCAAATTGTAAACCACACACAATTTAAATAGTAAATACTACTCAGTTTTAGAAACATTAATCCCTTCCAAAAAAGCCTATTTACACCTCTTACCCTTCTCCTGGTTCAGCGACAGCTGGAGGATGAGGGTTTCCCTCCCCTGCAGACACAAATGTGCCGCTCCAAGCCTACTCGGGGCCCCAGCCTATTGGCCCACATGCTCTTAGCCTTTAGGGTTCTTGGGCTTTTGGCCTCCTGGAACTCACCAGCCTCAGTTCCATGTGGTTGTTCGTGCTCAGTTGTGAACCCCAGCATGGCTTCTGCACAGCTTGGCATGCTTTCCAGAATTAGCATGTACCCTTTTGAGGCTGTAAAACCTGAAGCTTGTCCTATCCTTCATATAAACTCACTTGGATTACAAAACGTGCTTCAGTGTGAATTCTTTCAGTGTGCAAAGAACCTAGGTGAATAGAGACCAATTGCTGTGTTGTGGATTGCCATTTACAGGTTTTTAAGACCCCAGGAACTGTAAAACAGAAGCACTAAACAAGTTATCAGGCCAATTTACTGACACCCATAAAACCATGACTGGATGGATACCCATAAAATCATAAAATCAGGCTTCCGAATCAAGAAACCATACTATGTATGGTGGCACACAAATAGCCTCAGCAGCTGCTCTTTGTGTGAGTTTGGGTCACTGTTGTAAATGCATGTATCACTCAACTTTTGCTAAATTAACTTTTTACAGATGTACAACTTATTGACAACAATTACAATAATTGATCGTGCAACTCTACCTTAATCAAGTAAACAGTGTTCATCACTGTTAACACCTACTTTCCATTTCATGCCTGGTAACCACTAATAAAATAAAAATCACATTTACCGCTTCGAGATCTTCATATTTCTGCAAGCAACATTCACAATATCCTTTTTTTTTCTTCTCTTTCAAATGGACCTGAAGTGGGGTTCCATCACATTTATTACCATCTGTTTGGATTCTAATAATAGAAATGAAGAATATTTTATAAAGTTTATTGAATCTGTAGGAATTTGATTTGAGATTTTTATTAGCAAAATTTCTAATAAGCTAACTAGGAATGTAATGAAATTAATGAATTTTAAAGCTATCTGGAGAACATTTCAGATCTTAAGAGAAAAACCACATGTTTATATTCAAGTGCCTCCATCAAAGTGCCCAAATATTACTCACAGGTTTTAAATTTTGAATAAGAGTAATAGAAAAATATGAGATGAAAATCAGCTAGAATAGTAAAATAGTGAGTAGGGACAAGTGCGCGTGCGCGCACGCACACACGCACACACAGTATGGAACTAAAAAAACAAATGGTTGCCACTGGGTTGATGCCAACTCAAAGGGACCATTTAGGATAGGGTCAAACTAACTGACCCTATGAATTTCCAAGATTGAAACTCCTCCTAGAAAGCCCATCTTTCTCCTGTGGAGCAGCTGGTGGTTTCAAACAGCTTACCTTGTAGATCATAGCACAAAGTGTAACCATAGCACGCAAAGGGTACCATTGCAAATGCTTGCTTACAAAGATGCTATTCTGAACAATATTCCATTTAGAAGGAGCCTTGGTGGCATAGTGATTCCTTGTTGGGCCATTAAAGAATTAGTCTTGGAAACCCACAAGGTCAGTTCTACCCTGTCCTACAGGGTTGCTGAGTGGCAGTGAGCTGTTTCGATTATTTGAGAAAACCAACCTTAGTTTAACCTGAGTTTGCTTTTGGATGCCAGAGGGCTTATCCACGTCAAATGGACTGCAGGGCTTCTGGACAGAGTAATTTATAAAGGGCATGTTGCTCAACTGAAGATAAAACGGTTTATAAAGTCTAAAAGAATAAAAAGACAAATATATGAGATTCTCTATCATGAAAGGAAACAAATTTTAGTCATACGATTCAGAATCACATAATTTATCCAAAATCTTAAACATGCAATAGAAATCAATAGGCTTCTCTTCTGAGACTTACATTATACTTAAGTCATACAAATCAGACTTAGTACTTACTGACATGCATCTTCTACCTTTACAAAAGGCTTTTTAAGTCTACCTGCTTTTAAAAAATAAGAAACAATGTATTAAGTGCTTATAAACACAGAATTCTTTTACTTTTTAAAATACTTAGAACAAAAAAACCTTAGGCACCCCCTTTGAAATTTTAACTGCTTTCCAACATTTCCCATTTCCAAAATAACAAACGTTGTTTCTATCCTGACATTTAACATTTTTAATTATGAATATATAAATAACATCACATCAGTATTAGCAATGCTTGGAACATTGATAGCATAGAAACAGCAATTTATTACATATGTATTCATTATTGTAAATACTCCATCTCAGTTCAAAATTGCATTAATAATTAGACTTACTACTCAAACTTGTATTTAACATGTTAATAAAGAACTATCTATATCCCTTTATACCAAACCAAACTCACACCATTGAGTCAATTTTGACTCATGGTGACCCTATAAACCAAACTCAAGCCATTAAGATTGATCATTCAGGACTGAGAACTCCTCCGTAAGGTTTTTGAGATAGTAAATCTTCATGGGAGCAGTCTCATATTTCTCCCATAGAACAACTGGTGGACTTGAACTTTTGACTCTGTAGTTCTCAGCCCGTGTGTATTCCACAGTACCACTAAATGCGCTCTACAAAATAATTTTTAAAAATTTACAACTATATTTTGATATTTGGGGTTTTCTATAATTCAATGATTTTTTTTCTTTTTAATAAAACATTATTTGGAAGATATCCATAAGCTGCTTTCTTCTCCTGACAGCCATAAGGGTCACCCATATTCAGAATAAAGGAAAGAACCTCTGAATAATCACTTCAGACTTCTTCAAGTGACTTTTTTTAATATGACCTATATAGGATTTATTGTACTTTTGGAAAACAAACCAAATAGATCTTAGGATACTAAAATACTTACCTTTTGTTTTCTGAGTACAAACACGTTTCCCCTTAAAAATAAAAAATGGAATATAGTAAAAATACTGTATTTGAAAGAACAATGTCTAACAGCAACTACAATTTCAATATCCTCAAGATAAAAACAATTGGGGGAAATTCTGTACAGTGAACCCTCGCCACTTCGTGCTTCTACTTCCGCGGCTTCACTCTATCGCGGTTTTTGCGTTAACAGTGCATGCTGTCATTACTGCCACTGATTGGCTCATACTGTACACGCTTCTGTCTGCATCGCTACGTATCGGA